GTGTAACGGTGATACAACAATAATTTTTTTTTAAATCGGATAAAAATTATGACCTCTATATAGGGTCCACAAGCTAAAAACTCGAGTTTTCGTACAATCAGGGGCCATAATTCAGGAAGTAACGGTCCGATATGCTCGAATATCGAAAAGAACCGAGATCTTTGGGTTATAAACTTACATTTCAAGTTTCAACAAAATAGGATTAAAATTGTGACCTCTATAGGGTCCACATCCTTGATATACCATATTTTTATGCTATTTGAGAACGAAGGGCGGTCATTTTGTCTGTCAGTTTTGGGCCGATTTTCACGAAATTCGAACTCAGCCGACCTTAAGGTGTAACGGTGATATAATAGTACGTTTTTTTTAAATCGGGTAAAAATTATAACCTCTATAGAGTCCACAAGCTAAAATCGCGATTTTTCGTACAATCAGGGGCCATAATTTAGGATGTTACGGTCCGATATGCGCGAATATCAAAAGGAACCGAGATCTTTAGGTTATAAACTTAACCAGATTATTGTTTTAATCAGATTGCTATTCATTTTAATATTAGGCTAATCTTTAAACAATTCATGTCAAACGTCGATCTTTTGATATCCAACTAAATGTGTATTTTAACTGCCACTGTATATACCATTATAAGACATTTGAAGGCGTCGACATACCGTAAAACAAAAAACTAAGCGTTGAAAATTTTCATTCCAGGGACGTAATTCTAACTTTTACTGTGACCAATTTCCATAACTCGTTTTGTCACAAAGAGTTAACTGCCTTGATAATGTGCTCCGAACATAATATTTTCAACCAATTTTTTCAAAATGGTTATATCTTCAAAAATCAAACGTGACCAGACTTCGATTGTTGATGAATGAAGTTTTTATGGTAAGACTTATCATATAATGCTAAGATAAGCCCGAATTATTGTCTATGTGTTGTAAAATTTGTTGTGTTTGGACCACTCTAAGAGTGTTATCGATAATTGGCAAAGTCGTTTTTACAGGAGGTCTCTTTTTGCGACTTTGAGTTAAGATAGCTGAATTAATTTTAATCAGATTGGTGTGAACTTGCCGTAAAGTGGATATAGTAACCATTGGCTACACGTACCGAAAAGTTTCCTCACCCATCTTATGTGCCCTTTAAGGTAAATTCACTGAAATAGATTTTAAAGGAGCTAAATCGCTAACATTTGGCACCTAGAAATTGACAAAAGTGGGTCGCAACGCAAATAATACTGCAATATGAATGTATATAAACTGATTTACATTCAATGGTTTCCGTTTTTACTCCAATTTCAAATCAGTTATGTTCGGCGAAATAAGCCAGCAGTCTCAAGCGAGTGCAAATTTCTAGCGTCTGGCTGTTCCAGTCTACATACGCCGTTTGATTCGGTGCAATGTGTCTAGCCTCGTCCCTCGAGTCTCTTGATACAACTGGGGCTGAAGCGCATTATGGTACACGATTCGTGTACCAATGGTAAAATGATTATTTTGTCTTAAATATTAGATATCAAAAGCCCATCTTTTTCCGGTAAGATCACAACATGAATGTTGATTTAATTTGACAAATAAATCGTGTTTTCAATGTTGAAGATTTTGGATGATATTGAGTTAGAGACTTAGCTACTTTAACTAAAATCAAAATGAAATTTTAAATTTTATGCGTTTCACGAAGATGGATTGTAACTTAAAATGCAATTTTCATAGATTTTAGTTAAAATTGCTTGCGCCGCACAATGCACATTTCCTGTGTGGACACGTACGGTGTAAGCAAATACGCTTCGAAACTGAAAACTGTTGGCAAATTGAACTGACGGGTACAATATCTATGGGGAGAGTTTCATACACTTTTATCGTAAATCCATTTGAAATTCACAACGAATATGGAATTTTCCGATGACTATGCATAACAATAGATCGACCTCATCTCTCATCCAATCAAAGGCTAGGAATCTTATTACAATGTACAGCTCCATGCATAATACGGGCGTAGTAGCTGAGATTAAATTTTGGCGCGGAAATTGCATGGGATTCATGGGCATGAATATCAAATACAGGGCCGTGTTTCACAAAAACATAAGGTAAAATCACTAAAACAGATTTTAACTAAAATCAATATGAAATTTTAGAATTTTTGCGTTTCACGAAGATGGATTGTAACTTAAAATGCAATTTTAATAGATTTTAGTTAAAATTGCTTCTGCCCGCGCAGTGTATATTTCCGATTCGGGCACTTACGGTGTAAGCAAATACGCTTTTTAACTGAAAACTATTGACAGGTTGAACTGACGGTACAATATCAATGGGTTTCATATATACGTTGTAGCACTGTTTGCACATGGTCGTTGACAGGTGAAATAAATGAATTTATTGCCTATTATTCGTTTCGAAGTGTATCGGTGGGTTGGCCTTGAACTTGGCATTTGATTCGTGACCTTGGCATTTGATTTACTCGCAGGCTTCAGTATAAACAATGCGTATTATAGATAAACTATATTAAATCGCTTGAATTTCGTAGTTTTATGGTATTTTGGATAACATAAACTATTGAGAATTGCCACAAACATATGATATTTGTGACTCAAACGACCCATCTAGGCTGTAAATTTTTGTCGAACTTTAAAAGTATTTAACAACTTTGAAAGTAATCCACCAAATAGTCAGTGCTCCGATGCCTAGATTTGAAATATCATCTCACACTGTTTTATAAATACTTTGAAACTGCCAAAGTGCCACATTCCTTGTTTGATAATGTCTATCTATCTTACTCAATTAAAATGATTTTTCCCAAAGTAAAATATCTTTCTCTCCCAAAACTTCTCTAATTTATGTTGTGTTAGTAACGTAAGACTCCATTAAGAAATAATAATAAACTTATGATATTAAAATTTAATTTCAAATAAACCTATAACATTTTTAAATAAACACATCTAAGATTGTCGATTTATCTTTGTGCAAATCATCATAATCCCAAAACCATGAGTAAATACTTTGCATATGGCATGTCTAGGCCTTCTAATACCAAGAAATTGGCCATTTTCATCGAAGATGTTTTTTATAGATAAGAGTGATTTTCTTTTCATGACAGTGAGCTCAGGTTTTCTTTTAGTGTTTGAGTGGGGTTTTTTCTTGGGTTCTTATTTTGGGCGTCATCTAATTTTCGTAAATTGCCTAACAATAAAATAAACGGGTAGAATGTAGCTGTAATTCCCATGCTATGAAAAGAAATTGAATGAGAATTATTTTTGTGAATGATTCTATGGTAAAAAATATGTGACACGGCCGGACCCGGGACATTGGCAATATTAACATTATTTCTAATATATCTATCTGTCGCAATAGATCGAACAACGTTGCCCTATTCAATGTGGGGGGGTTGGATGGTCGAATGGTTAGCACGTGCGTGCTGTATCATAAGGCCTGTCATTGAGTCAATTGGCGTGGTTTCGAATCCCCGGTTGTACGTGACAAGGATTAGGGTCGCCTGTCCAACCTCGTGGGTTTCTTCCGGGTCCTCCGGTTTCCTCCCACAGCTAAAGACCCCTACGCGCAAGCAAATTATTGAAATAAAATTAAACCATATGTTAGTCCCGAAATGACCTAGTTTGTGTCGAGTGGACGTTAAACCCCATCTCTCTCTCTCTCTCTCTCTCTCTCTCTCTCTCTCTCTTTAGGAATGTAATCAATTGCATTTATCATCTACCAAGGTAGATCCATTACAGTGTTTGTTAATGTCGTGATTTTAAGTTAGGAGAGGGTGACGGCTGTCTTTTAAGTTAAAATTGATTTTAGGTAAAATTGTCCCTAACATAGTTTTATGAAACGCCACTAGCTAAAGTTAAGATAAAATTTTAACTTAAAATATTACTTTAGTGAATTTTATCTAATATGCTTAAAATGGTTTTGTGAAACGCTTCTATCTTAAGTTAGGGTGAAATTTTAGTTTAAGACGGTTTTAAGGAGATTTAAGATTTTATGAAACAGGGCCCAGAGGTGTTACGCCAAGAGTCTCTGCATCGGTCAATGTTTAACATTACTGTTATGTTTCGTACTAACAATAATTGTGTACATACCACATACCACTAAGGCAAAAGTAATGAGTCCATCCCAATATAAACACACCTCTACACGCTTCAAAGGTTTAGGAGAAAGCTTAAATATTTTCATACAAGATACTCATCTTCTTATTCGAGTTAAATGATATAATATAGATGACTAACTAGTTTCGGTGAAATGCATGCTAAAGGTTAAGTGGTCAATTTTTATAATCACATATCAGTAGAAAAAATTGGAGTTATGTTGGCAATTCTACTGAAACGGTGTTGATGAAACGACGATACCAAATGAATCATAACATCTTTAAAGGTAATATATTATTATTTATATGACAACAAATCTAGGTCTACACACGATTAAAACTTATATAGGCTAAACTATGTATATTATAACGAACACTACGTGCGAAGCATCCGTGTGAAAATGGGGTTGGTAAATCAAACCAAAAACTACGTAATTGAACTATTAAATAACATGAAGTGTAATTTATTCCCAGTATGAAAAAAGAAAAACATGCATAAGGAGTATGTGATTGATGTTCCAGGGTTTACATCGCACTGGTAGGATAAGTTACATGTTGATTATGTAACTTAAAATGCAACACAGTTAAAAGAGGCGGTTACTTTATTGGACGTGTATCAAATAATGCTACTTTCATTGGGTGGCAGTGTTTAATGAATGGTATATAATGTCCATTGTATTATGTTTACTCACAGTAACGTTTATTCAAATTCACTTTAAATTAAGAGCGAACACACTCTTATTTTGTGATCTGCATTAATTTTTGCCCGTTCCTACCGGACATTTCGATTGACTATTGATCAATATAACGTTCGAACACCTATATATATATACTATATAGATATATATATATATATATATACCTTTAAATATCTACCTTATAGGTGATCTCACGTATAACTGTGCTATATTTTCTTCATCTAGATATAAAGACTATACGTCCTACATGACGAAGGAAAAGCTTGATGTACAAACTAGTCAATCGCCTTCAACTACTCTTCAACGCACCAGGATGGTGACCAGTTTAGACGATATCCAGTCTATGAGATTTTGGAAAGCGGTGATAGCTGAGTTTCTGGGAACTCTCTTGTTGGTATTGGTTGCTTGCGGATCATGTATCGAACTCATAGATGGTGTTAAATCATCAATTGTGCAGATTGCGTTATGTTTTGGACTAAGCGTTGCAACTATCGTATGGAACATTGCCCATATTAGCGGTGGACACATCAACCCCGCCGTTACCGCTGGCATGCTCGCTGCCCGTAAGATCAGTCTGGCCCGAGCCGTTTTTTATCTCCTTTTTCAACTTGTCGGAGCTATTGTCGGTGCTGGAATCTTGCTGGGACTTACGCCAGACGGCTACCATGGGTCCTTGGGTATGACCACCGTATCACCCAAAATTGATGTGGGAAAAGCTGTCGGCGTGGAATTCATGATAACTTTTATTTTGGTTTTCACTGTTTTTGCATCTTGTGATGGGAAGAGAAAAGATATTAAAGGATCAGTACCACTGACCATTGGTCTGTCTGTCACCATGTGTCATTTATTTGCGGTAAGTAAATTCATTATCTATAATCAAAGTTATCATAATTAACATGTCAGTTATATTTTACTCTTGATAAGTAATATGGTTGATAATATCTCAGAGATCAGTGTACGCCAATGTCATCGTTATAAATAAATGCCCTTCCTTACTATCAGCCATACCTAAAACTCGGAATTTTATGTGTTTCTGTTGTCTTTTCTTTTCTGATATACACATTAATCAATACCGCAATTATACATAGAAATTGTGTAAACCTTGATCAGAATACTGTTGTGATGATGACGCTAATAATTTTTAATACAGCATTGTGTATAACAACAGATTAATTTGTACCATAGAAATAAATCAATAATTGAAAATATAAATTTTCCATATTGTAAAGACTATCATACTCGGTTTTCTCGTAATTTCTTTAGTTTCTGGACGAAAAGTCGGGATTATTTGTTCTGAACTTTCGGTACAGAACTCTGAGCCGGAATTATTTGTGCCAGGTTTTCGGAACAGAATTATAAGTAGGAAAATTATTCCAAGGTTTCAGTAAAAAGTTCAATCAAACCCTAAAAACTCTGGATAAAAAATCTTCATGGTTTCAATTTTTAGTATTACTGCGCTTAGTAAATAATATTTCCATCACGAGGATGGTTTAACCCCATGAATAAATACACTTGAGGTAAAGAATATTTTTTCGTGTATCTAATATTTACTTATTAATGTTCGTATAAGAATGGTTTTTAATGTATGCTATACTGGACAGTTCATCGTAGTTGATCTCAAAGGTTCTGTAAATGAAATGATAACAATATTTATTTGTGTGGACTGATCCTAGAAATTACTACGTTTATTCAAACTAAATAATGGCGATTAAGTATCAATTATGAAGACAATCTTAGTTAATTATTTAAAGAGATAATATATCTCTGAAAGTTTCATTTGATGTGGGCCCAGATGTTGAATTGTCACAAATAATAATAAAAATCAAATTATATTACTAAAGTAATTAAGCACAGTAGGTAATAGAGCGTTTTATACATATATCAACACACAAATGAAATGTAAGCTGTAATAAACACTCAAATTATGATTAAAGTATGAATACAAGATAACTGTACATATCGTGTACTTAATAAACATGAAAACGTATATAAAGTAAATATGATAAGATAAAATAATACTTGTAACATGTAGTAAGAAATTCAAGATTCGAATGCGGGTTCAGGGGCGGATACAGAATTTTTCCAAACGAATTGGTGAAAAGCATATTTAAAACAATTTTTGACCTTTTATAGTGATAATTCCAACAAAAAGAAGTCGACTAAAAAGTTCAATTTGTTATATATGAACCATTCTGTGACATTCTTATTTCCGTTTCATATTATGTTAGCGCAATATAGTCAGGTCGGTGTCAATAGAAGCTATGATTTCTCACCGATGAATAATTACATTTTAGTCTTCCAAATGATTAGTCCACGTCACGAGTTATTTGCCGGGGAAACTTAATCCTACGGTTCCGACAGCCAAGAACAGTTCGGGAAAATGTACGAATGAATGAAAATGACTCTTCGTAGTCACAATCCCATTGGTTCTTAACCCTGTGGACTTCCAAATTCAGGCTTTGTATGGAGTTTATTTGTTAACGGTACACATTACTTGCGTTAATGATATTAAAAACACACGATTTTATAAATCTACATAAGTTTGTGTTAATGCATTACAAGGAACACAAACTTGTGTTAATGCAATGTAAAACAATAAAAGTTTGTGTTGAGATCCAACACAAGATTTTTTTCAGTGTATAGAACCCTAAAGAGGAATTTATAAACAAAGAATTGCGATATTACAGTATATAGAGAATTGAAAAATTATTTGATGAGGATAATATATTGATAATACTGTGATCAGGAGTAATCTCGAGAGACGTAATAGAACAGGACGTAAGGGACGACCCAAGTTCTAATCGTCTCTCTGTATCCGTGCTTTTGGTTGAAAGGACAAAGCTGAGATTTTAATCAGCCTTCCTTTTTCAACCCAACCCCACCCCACCCCCACCCCGAGACACACATTTCCGGTCCAATTTGACTTAAAAGATGGTTATCAGATTATTTGTTTGGGGCATATCAAACTACAAACTTGCCGCCTACACTGTAACAAAAATTTCCGTGAAAAAACGTAAAAAATTCCGGAAACAAAAATTACCAGGAAAATTTTATCCGTATTTCTTTTTCCTGTAATTTACAGAAATTCCCTCAATTAACAGAAATTCCATTTTCAAATACAGAAAAAAAAACCTTGGTAAATTTTGTTTCCTGACGATGATGAAGGTGATAAAAATTTCATTGAATTAACCATTGACTTTATATGCGTGCGTGAAATAGCTTTATTTAACGTCTGCTTCTACCGAAGTGATAACGCAGATAAACTTTAAACGTAACCTCTTTTCGCTAATATAAGAATCGAGAGCAAGGTATCACAAACCGCTACTCGTCAGTGGTTGGATGCTTTCAGGTGTAAGTTTGCGGTATTTTCAAATCGCAGGTATGTAGACTCTGCCATAGAGACAAACCGACTTACACTGGCCAACCGGTTGTACTATCCGGATTTAAGCGTGCTTCATTACCAGATATTACAATCTTAACACACGCAGCATTAAAACATATTTTTATATATTTATGAAAATACTTACAATCTGATTTCCGTATGATGAATCACAATACACTTTATAGATCTTATAAATAATGGAAATTAGATATATATGACAATCAATATGCCAAACTTTACAAAATATGATTCTTCATATTATGGTAAATAAATTGAAATGAATACTATAACATGATGATTAGGAATGATTATATATGTATACGATTACTTATCGTTGCACCGTTTATCCCGTAAAATAACAGACTTAAGTCCATTACAGAACGGAATAAAACATTTTATCCCTAAATTTCAAGGAACTTCCTTGTCATTCCACCGTTTATTCCGTAAAATAACAGAATTAAGTCCATTATAGAAGGGAATAAAACATTTTATCCCTAAATTTCACGGAAATTTCCTGTTTAATACTGAATATTCTACAGAAATACATAAAACACGTAATTTGAAGAAATAATTCACACTATTAACACAATTTCTCCAAAAAATCCATCGATTAACAGAAAAAAGGTGTTAAATTACGGAATTCGGCCACATAAAAAATGGATATTTTTTACAGTGTAGGACCTGTCTTCATCGAACTCTAGATTGTTACATGGAATATAGATAAACGTTCCTGAAGGGGCTGTTAACACAGTTTTATTCACTAAATATATCGGGTAAAACAACTTTAAAGTATGTGGTTAAAATTGAATATGGTTTTGTTTACATGACACGGCTTATAATTTTTAATTCCAAAAAAAGTTGACTGACAGAATCCTATTCTAATCCTACCCACAGCACATTCAGAAAAATCACCGGTTTTCTTATACTTTACGATCAAGTAACGGTGTATTTTCTTTTATTAATTTATGGCAACATATTTAAAAAAAAACATTACTCGGCATACCTCTGGGCCCCTCTAGACGCTTGACCCCTGGAAAAGTATCCCGCCTGCCCCCCCCTCCCTCCCTCCCCTTGGTGCAGAACAGTAGGACGTTAAGCCCCATTTCATTTATTCTCCAAAGCTTTTTCAGAACAAAAAATAGCATTAAGGTCCCGTCTCCCTGTATACATTGATGTAAGTAAAAGAAAGCGACGCGAAAACCCCGCTATCCCAGCAACCATAGAAAAGAAAATAACATTTTTAAACTGCTTTATCTTATTGTGTATACATGTATTTTGTTATAGCAAAATCTTGATAACATTTTTGTACATTGCATATAGATATAGGTAACGATTTTTTCAAAAATTAATTGGCCAAACTCTACCTGAATGTAATAAACATAATTATGCATAATTGATGTGTTTTGAAAGAAGTTATATAGCTTTGCTTTCATCTCGTATCGCCTTGATCTCTTTAATGCAGTTGAAAGATATTTTATATCACGTTTGCATTTTCGAAACTATTTCAGTATTAGATAACGCATAAATTATATAAATGGGGTTTAACGTCCTACTGTTCTGCACCGACTGGGATAAAGAAGACGGGCATACGCCATACAGTGTGCTATGTGGGAAATTTTGCCCAGACAGCGGCACTACGGCCTATTCTTATATTGAATTCCCATAAATTACATATGGCAAACCAATTTTTTGTCCACAAAACAATATACCCACCCACGTGCAGTTATGCAAAATAATGTTCTATATGTTATAAATGGCGTGGATAATTTTTTCAGCTGTCTATATTGATATTGACTCATAATATGTTAACCGCCTTAGAGACCCTTATAATACAACTGATATATTGAAATCACCCATTAATGAGACCAACGACGTTGTAACCCCTTCAGTTGGATTTGTTGTACAATGAATGAATCAAATGGGGTTTAACGTCTAATGCACAAACCGGGCTAGCCAATACGGGAAGGAACAGATATTTACACACCCCCCCCCCCCCCCCGACAGTTCTGATATTGATTATTCTTTAAGTGTGAGGTGGCCAATATCATGTGGTCATTTCTCGTTTATTTCAATTTTGTTTTATCCAGTGAGATCTGTAAGAAGAAAATAGAAATTGAATTGAAAACAAAGTGTATCAGTTTAAGAAAGTAATATTTTTATAAATCCTGGTAGATTAGTCCAAAGATCAATGAGTGGATACGTTACGTTATAGTAGTTGTAGGGTCGTATAAATTTGTTCTCTTGACCGATAATTTGTTATGATGATGATGAATGGCTTTTTACTGGATGCCTCTTGGCTATCGTAAAAAATTATTTATTGGCCTGGAAATAACGTATTCATCCGTGTAGATTAAAACACCATTTTATTACCGTCTATTCTGAGACAGTATAATTATCAACTATAATATCTACATAGCTTTGGGTATTCTTTATCCTGGTGAAATCATTTTGAAAACTTTCTGAAAATAACA